TTTTCTTTTCTTTTCTTTTCTTTTCTTTTCAAGTGTGTGAAAGATTAATATTTGTATAATTCAAGTGGTGCAAAAAGCAAACCCTTTCCCTTGGCCTCTATAATACACACACCACACACAAAATCAAAAGATCTCTCTACTCATCAACTTTTGGGCTCTACAAATTCGCTCTCAACCCTTCACTTATCCCTCACTCAATCTTCTCTCCACATCTCCTCTCTCTCTCTCTCTCAATTCTTCTTCCTCTTCCTCAACCCTTATATTTTCTAATTTTTTACTCAAATTTTGATCATATTTAGGCCTGTTTCTCCATGTCAACATTAGTTTATCAAAGTCTTGTGTCATGTTATGAGTCTCAACTGACAGAGACAGCAATCCTAAAGATGAAAGTGGCGCATGCCTCGACTATGTTAGACTTAGGAAGGGGCTCCTGCATTGTAGGAAGTGAACAAAACACGAGAGAAAATCTTGAAATAGGCGGTTGGAATTTCCTTCAGAGCCTTTCCAAGATTTCAACATGTCCAAAAGAAGCAATGGAGAAGGAAAACTTATATGTTCAAAGAAAATCTTCATTTCAAAAACTAACTGGAAATAGCCTGGATCTTTGTACTGAAAATTTGGGAAGTGAAACAGGTACTGAATGTGTCACAGACAGCACCAGCATTTTCTCATCAGACACATTCAATTTGCAGTGTGAAAATTCGTCGCCAATGGATCAGCAACAACAAAGGGAGCATCAACAAATGAAATCTTCAAGAAATGATAAGATGAAGACAAAATCTCACAGTTTTCCACCGCCCTTGACGACGATGACTGGGTCGAGTTCCCTCCGAATACAGCCTCACCGTGAAGACGGAAGGCTTATAATCAAGGCGGTCGAGACCCCCTTTAGGCGTTCTTATCTACAAGCTGAACGAAGCCACGGCCGCCTCAGGCTGTCATTTTTCCAAGATTATGACTCAAACTTTGAATCTGATCTCATAATGACCACCAAAGAAGATACTGAAGGTGACAGCCAATTAGATGATGAAACTGAAACCGACTCAAAAGATGAAGATAATGAACTAGAAAATGAAGATATTGAATCAGAACAAGAAGATGAAGAGGAAGAATGTGATATCAAAATGAGCCAGGAAACGGATGTTGAAACGGAAATGGAGAAATGTCAAAGGCTTAGCAGGTGCATTGAAGGTGGACATGGTACTAAAGGATTATGCAATTGGAAGACTTCATTTTGGGTTGCTACTTCCTAGTGATTTTATTATTATTATTTTTTTTTTCCGGGTTCTTTTTTTTTTTTATTTTTTTTTTCGAAAGCTACAATTTTAATTTTGTCATTTTCTTTTCTTTAATTCTCCTTTTGTTTTAATTTTGTCATTTTTCTTTTCTTTACTTCTCCTTTTGTATTTCTTTAATTCGTGCATAAACTATGATGTTTAAGTTAGCAGTTATTATCATTACTGGACCATAAATTCTTGTCATCCACCACCCAAACCCTCTCTTAAGGTTCACATGTCTGATTGAAAAGTTCTGACTTTTTCATATGCATGTGATTTTTTATAGACAAGGGAATTAGAAAATTGAGATACAAAATGGTTGCAGTCTGCATCTTGAAATCTTCTGTTCTGAATAAAAGACATTGTTTACCCACACACCTTCCTGTCAATTTTCTCTACATTATTCTGGGAACGGCACTTAATTGTGCATTCTAATGTGTAATGCAATACTTATTTGAGTGATATTGATGAAAAAAGGGGCTTGTTAGAAAACAGAGGTTACAATATGGTAAATGTAGGTTTTATAAAATGTGTGAATAAAAGTAAATTTGATCGGAATGAATTAACAAAAAAAAAAAAACGCGCTTAGCCCTAACATTCTTATTTTAGAGAGACAAACCTTATTTTTTTAAGAGTCAATAAACATTTTATATATAAAATAAATAGTGGATTTGAGTTTTCAAATGGAGAGAAATGTGACCACTCTCCTTCGAATTATACTTTTAGTGCCGTTATTTATTATCTCACAATTTCCATGCAGATGTTTAAAAAATATATAAATGATGGAAGCTAGGTAAAAAAAGGGAGTTAAAATGTTGAGTCATAATTGCTAAAAAAATGGAAATGAAAATATTAAATTTAAAGAATGTTGTAGGATTTGGATAAAAACTCTTTATTTCTAAATGTTCTTCAAGTTGTTCTTTAGGTTAAGATACTCTTTTAAATAAAGAGTAGTGTTAGAGAAGTATTAGCAAAGTTTTATGGTGTAGAAGTGTAATTCTCTCAACAATTTTAATGTTTTACAATTCCTTTTACATTGAAATTTAATTATTTATTCATAAAATGGAATTATCATAAAGCAATTTTCAGTGTACAAACAAAATTTGATCAAGCGAATCTAACAAATGCTTTTTATGGAATTATTTTAAGTCATAATTACCCTTTTTTGTCACATAAACCTAAAATTTGTGTAGAGATATTTATTAATTAACAGAGAAAAATAACTTATTTAAAAATGTTATAAAATTTTCATAAGTACTTTAATTGTTACGTTTAGGTTTCAAGAGTTAATTCTCAAACAAATATTTTCTAAAAATAGAGGGAAAAAACTAACCTTAAAAGCCAAACCGAATGAGTATATGACAACTCAGTTAAATAGTTTAAATGATGTTATATTTTGCAAAATAGCAGGACCTTAATTAATTACGAAATTAAATGACAACTACAGCATGTTGGTAAGATGTAATTTACCATATTGAATAAAAGTACTGAAAAAAAGTTCAAATATTATTTATTATACTGTCTGATTATATTCAGTAATGAATATTAAATCTGATGCAATCGTCCAAAATGACAGATTTTAATATAGATGGATGAATAGAGTAAATCATGATTTTTTAGCGAAAAAATAATGGTTACACTGTACCAAAATTTTATTTGTGTAAAGTTAATTACCAAAATATAAAGAGTATGTATCTTCCACAACAAATCATCAATTATAAATAAATAATCGTGTTATAAAAGGACAAATAAGAGATAAAACCGTATGTGTGCTACTGTGCTAGTTCGTCTAGAATTTCACTAAACAACAGCTGCAACAAAAAAATTTCTTCTCTTTTTATTAGGACGGAATAGCACCTTAAAGCAGCAACAAGTTTGTTGTGTTTTAGTTAGGCTTTCAATCTGTTTTGAAATTTTGATTATTGCACAGGTTCAAATAAAATAAAATCTTATTCATCGATTGAAATCAGAGTTGAGAAATGTGGATTGACCATGATTAAATTTATTGGCATACACATATTTTTCCCGACTTAAATTTTTTGGCCTGCGAAGGTATATTTTCTCTGACCAATGATATGTTTTCCGACTTAGTTTAGAATTGTACCGACCCAAAAAATTAGATGATGAACTTGTATTTAGGAAAGAAAAGTCTTTATCTTACTTTCCCCAACCGAAAAATGTGGTCAAGATCTTTTTTTCCCAACTATGGTCGAAATTTTAACAACTCAAAAAATAGTAAGCAAACTGCTTTATCATTCCCAACCAACTTGGTGTTGGTAAGTAAAAAACTATATCATTTCCGACTAAAATGCATTCCAGTCGGTGAAGACATTTGCTGACCAACTCCACATTGGTAAGTAAAAAACTCCATCATTTCTTACCAAAATGCATTCTGATCGTTGAAAATATTTCTGGTTAACTATTGGCGACCAGCTACCGACCAAATTTTCCTCGTCAGGATTGTTAATACCGACTATTATTAGACTTTTAGCTACTAAATTTTGGGTTGGCAAAACCCTTATTTCTTGTAGTGTGTGCTAGTCCGTACAGAATTTCACTAAACAAAAACTGCAGCAAAATGTTTGATAGAGACGAGTGTACAAATTATTCGCACACCTAAGCAAACATTAGATATAGTAAGAGTTTCTTAATATCTCTCAACTTGATATAAATTTTTAAATGCTTGTATAAGATTTTCATTTAACTACTTTTGCTTCAATGGATTTCACTTCCTCTTTCTATCCTTAAGTATATAGTCCCCATCTATGTAAAATAAAGCTCATATGTAAAATAATTTACATATTTAAGTATATATGTTGCTGAGAATTTATATAAATTTCGACAATTAGAGAGTTTAGAATTCCAAATTTGCATTTTGTTTATGTTCTGTATTAATAAAATATGTCACCACGCATTGGCAAAATTAGTGGGTCTGTGGGATGCCCCTACTTCTCTATTTTTTTTTTAATAAAAATAAAAATTTCAGTTTGGTTTAGTTTATTTGTACAAAGTTGGCGTGGTTTAGTAATATATATATATATATATATATATAAATAAATAAAAAGTTTAAATTTATCAGATGCTTGTGTTTAATGATTAACAATTTTAATAATTGGGACAAGTGATTTGGTTAATCAGATGCTTGTGTTTAATGATTAACAATGCTACTATTTTCTTCCTTTTTTTATATTTTTGGAAAAATCTCCAAAATTAGTCCACTAAACTTTAGCTCCTCTAGCAAAATTTATCACCGTTCTTTAAAATCATTTTTTTTCTTTTTAGTTTTGAGCATTTATTTCCGTTTTGCAATTTTCTTCCTTTTTACATAATTTCTTTAATATTAATTTCCTGGTGAAAGATGCACAATTTAATTTTTTAAGGATTGCAAACACTAACATAATCTTTTAGATTTGTTTTCTCCATTTTCAATTTCAAAATCTATTTGAAACAATTATTTCCTTTTTTACGCACAAATGTCATCAAATTTTAGTAGAATGCACAAGCATTTAACATAGGAAGTTGTGCAACTCGAAGAAGAAGAGTGATTTTTCCAATTCTCTTTAATTGACTCGAACATAATTGTGTTTCATCTTTATGGGGAATACATTTTTGTATTTTGTTTGCTTTATTTTCTTATTCATGTGCATTGATAACTATTATTCCAATTGTTTCCTCCAATTTTTTGGGGTTCTATTAAATCAAACTTGATTTTTTTTCAAACGAAATATTGCTGATTTCCTTTGTTCTGTTCTTTCACCATTTTGTTTTGAATTTTATGTATGATAAGCTCAAAGTTTATTACTATTATTATGTTTTCATTTTCATACTAAAATTGTTTATTGCTATCTGGTAATGTCTCCATGCTGCCAGCCATCATAATGGCATCTTAACTGAGCCATAATGTTCAAGCCAAAAATCTTGGCTCCACCATTGACAGCATAAGACGCGGATTTAACCAAAAAGGAAAAGGAAAAAAAATAAAAATTCCTCATTTCTAGAAATTACTAGTAGTAAAAAATTTAATAACGAGTACATGCTCTTCCAAAAAATGCCATGTTGAAAAAATATATAAAAAATATAAATTAATTAATTATTTCGTTTCCTAACCGCATAAGCTTTTGTTGAACACATTATTACTTTTTCAAAATTGATTCCATCATTTTGTCTCACCACGTATCTGTATAAAGTGAGTATGTGAACCTCCATGGCAACCAAAAGTAAGAAATGAAGCAGAAAACAAGATGATTATTGGTAATTTGAAAGGATAATGAATTTGCTCATCCTCCACCACTACTGCACAGTGCAAATATGTATATAACAGCAAAGATTCGTACACCAAACCTTGCACAAAATGGGTCGACAAATATCCTGTTTATTCAGGAATATATTAACATGTTTTCAATAAAAATTTTTACTCCTCAAACCCGGACCCTGCTGAAAGAGAACACGGATGTGTGACACTCGGCACAAAATCTGGAGAAGATACGTATCAGTGAAACCGTGCTATCTGGAAGTGATGTGCATGGGTGTAAAGGTTGCAAGTTGAGGTACGAAGTTATGATACAGTCACAATTGGACAAGCATGTAATATACCCATTGGATTTTATTGTCTTCTTGTAGTCTAACAAACTGTAAACCCTAAACTACAGTTACAAAATATAAAACAAAACCCTAAGCTACAAATTAAGATACAAGACACTAATAAATGATTTTATTTCCTTTTCTGAATATTGTTGGTACATCTTCCCACCAAATATTTTTTAACTGCGTTTAACTCACTGTATACAATTTTACATCCATTATCCTTCTTGGAAACAGAAAAATCAGTGCTACAAATAGTTCGCTACAAGTAATAGGGAGGGCTGGATCGTGGAGTTAATTTATCCATTCATTCTGATTGATTGTTTGAGTGTCTCTTTAGAGGGAGAAAATTGATGACACATGGACAGTAAAAAAATATTTTCTTTTTCATTATGTTCTTTTTTTCTTCAATTCTGTGGCAAACATCGAAGACAGAATTACCAGCCACAAATTATTAGTATTATTCATTTTCTTGTTACACTGAACAAACCCTGGAAACAAAAGCAAAGACTATTCTTAGAAATGACAAACCTAGTTCAAAACGAGGGCTAATTCCTATTTGCTTCATTCATTTTGTCCCCTCGCTTCTTTTAGTGTGTATAATTCATAATTTGAGAAATTTCAAATGTGGAAAAATTATACGAAAGGGCAATATTGTACGAAGTAATTCTATGCCAAATTCTTAAAATGTTTGTTTGTTGAGTTGAATTGTGAAGTTATTGGTAGTAGTTATAAGGATTGATTAATTACAAGGCATGGCAGCTTTTATTTGTTCGAGCTGGCCCACAAATATGTGAATAAAATGTATATTTCATCAGCTTAAATTATAATTTAAGATGTGTCAAACATGCTCT